TCTTTCCCAATACCATTGAAATTCCTAAGAGATCCTTAAACTTTAAACTCTCTCAATATAAAATAACAATCTAACTTAACAATATAAAATGACTTAGAATAATTATAATACATTCACAACTCACAATTATAGAAATTGTCACATTTTTTTTATATTTATTTGATTAGATATTGATAGTGTACAAACCATCACAATATTTTTTTCAATAATTTTTTTATAAATACCATGGTTTCGAAACTGTCACAATTATTTAAAAAAAAATCACAAATTAATTAAAAAATACAATTAATTACGACGTCGATTACATGAATATTTTATTATGATTATTAACAATTGATTAATTTTTTATTTCTCTTTTTTTCTTTACTCTCATATTTCTTTAAAATAAGAAAAGTGATTTTTTACTTTATTTCTTTTTTATTTTTACTCATTTATTTTTTCATTTTCTATTTCTCACCTTTTTTTCGTTTGTCTTTACCAAAATGATGCTTAAAGTTAAAACTAAGGTTTGAATAAAAAAAGAAAAAAAAAACATAATATACAAACTCTGACAAAGTATAAATTGAAGAAGTACTGGGATCGGGTTAGCGGTAAGAAACTAAGAATTGAGGTAGCATTTACAAAATTTAAGATTAGAACCGTAGCACCGTCGTTCTCTTTTTTTACTAATAAAAAAAATATAAATTAAGCTTCACAAAACCAATCGGTTCGTTAAGTTAGGGACGTGCGCAATGGAGAGTTTTGTCAAACGGGTTTCTCTGACTATTTCTGTGTAATAGCAATCGTAATTTTTTATTCATTTTTTTTTTCTCATCCTCGTGTCCTAGATTTTTGTATCTTCCTTTGAGGGTCACGTCACGTGTTTTATAATCTTAAATTAATTTACACACTTTTTTCTTATAATTTTTAAATTATATAAAATATATTCATTCGAATTAATATTTGTTACCATTAAAGGATCATCAAACATTAAATAAAATAAAATCACATGAATGAAAACTAAAGACCAATAAAGCTTAACCCCAAGCGTGTGGTTCAGCGGTAGGAGTTGATCCATGCTTAAGCAAGGTCAGGGGTTCGAATCCTGCCTTGTGTATGCAGCCGCGTTAAATCTTGGGGCCAGCTATCCCACCTTTTGAGGTGCATCCAACGTAGCGAGGAGATTAGTTACTGCTTCCGGCTGTGGATACTTCAAGAACGAACAAAAAAAAAAGACCAATAAAGCTTCAAGCTCTAGGTTCATACGAAGAAAATAACATGTTTTAGAAAAAGTCAATTTGTTGAATAAATATCACCCTTTGAGGTGCCTCCCTCGTATCGAGGAGACAAACAAAAAAAAAAAGACCAATAAAGCTTGAGCTCTAGTTTCATACGAAGAAAATAACATGTTTTAGAAAAAGTCAATTTGTTGAATAAATATTCATACATTAAGAAATTAGACACTTTAGGCAGCAAAAATATATATATATAGAAAGTTAAAATATTAAAAGGACTAAATAATGAAAAAGAGTGTGAAAGAAGAGATTAGTAAATGTGAAAGAAACAAAGGGGTGGAGTTTGTGAGTTGACATGACAGGAGAAGTATTGGGATAAGTTTGGAGTAGGAACTAGGAAGCCCAGGTCAAGAGGGAAGACGACTCACTCCTCTTGAATTTTCCTTTCAACAAACATAATAACATTAATTTAATCCAAAGTCAGAAGTGTTGACCATGAAAGCGAAAATATTGCGCATTCAACCCAAGAGAAGGGAAATTGGAAAATAGAGGAAGCAAAGAAGCAGCGTAGGTGTTTCCTTCCCCGGGCACTTACCAAAACGCGAAACGCATGACGACCATCTCAAGAATCAGCAATGAGCACCGCTAACTCTAACAACCCTTCGCCCACCATTCAGCAACGCAGGCTCACTCGCCAGAATAGGCTTCGCTACCTCACCGATGAAGACGCTGGTTTGCGTTCAACCATTTCTCTACCCGCCTCTCCTCTTCCTTCCTTCAAATCCGGTTCCTCTTCCGACCACTGGTCTTCCTCCGCCGTTCCTCAGCCGCTCCCGCTTCCCGAGTCCCCGTTGACCCGCCGCCACCTCGGATCTCCCCCCTTCGAACATCGTGCTTTCGCTTTTCCCAGGTAAGACTTCGCTGCTGCCCCACTGCACGCGCTCAACGCATCTTCTCTCCATGCTGATTCTTCTTTTGCGTTTCAGGAGATCCGTGGATCACGATGCCGTCAGAAGTCTAAGGTCTGCTAGCAATTTGGGTAGACCTTCTTTTGATCCGGCGCCTGCAAATGCCAGATATGATTTGAGAGTTAATATTCCTCCTGCAAGAGTGTTGGCAGGTCAGTTCTCCATTCATGATTTTCTAGTTTTTAATACAAAATTTATCATGTTATGTTGCTAGCATTCTTTTTAATATCAACTAGACCAACTCATGCTCCAACTTAATTTCTATATAATTTGACTATGTTTTAGGTAGGGATTGATCGGGATTATGAATAATCAATATATGATGATCATATACTATAAAATAATGGACAAACTTAATTACACTAATAATATGTATTTGTATTTAATGTAGATCTCGATAAAATAGACTGATGTATATTACTAAAGTGAAACTTCAACACTAATTAGAAAAAAATACTAGCAGTATCTATCACCTATGGTACTCCACCTAAGTTTTTTTCTAAAATAATTTCTCTTAGGATTATTGAATATTAAATATAGGAGATGTTTTAGTGTTTATACTTTTTTGGGTTATTGTTGAGACAGGCAATACTAGTTCATGTAAGAATCACAGAGAGCTCTCTCATGATAATGACTCTGAAAACGTTTCAAACTTGAGATTGCCTCTTGCGGCCAAGAGTGCCCCCAACAGCATATTCTCCAGTCCTGTTACTAGTCCACGTAGATCCAGCAATGTAGATTTTTATGATCCTTCCATCATTTTTCCTCAAGATTTTAATGACATTTTGAAAGTGTCACCACCGGCTAAAACTGCTCAGAGTCCAGAGCGGTCCCCTCTGCGCAGCCCGCGGAGCCACCTTAATCCAGAGGGGTGTCAGAGTCAGCCACATAAATTTTGCTCCAGAGTGTGGCCTGAAAATAATCATGTGGATGCACATCCACTGCCCCTTCCTCCTAGAGCTTCACCACAGCCGGCAAACTCATCTCCGCAGCATCAACCAAGTATCCTGCATCTCAACACAGAAAATTCACCTTCAATGAAAGGACAATGGCAGAAAGGAAAACTTATTGGACGTGGATCATATGGATCTGTTTATCATGCAACCAACCTGTATGCGCTCCATCCTTTCTTTCTCGACGTTTTAAATTGCTTGTGATCCTTGTTAGTGTGAAAAATTACTGATAAATGTGGTGGATGCGGCCATAATTGTGGTCACATAAACCTCAAAAACCTTGATGTTGTGGTCAATGTCGCAATTATGACTCTGGACTGTTTTTTCAACCTTCTTGTCATCTGCTTTCCTCTTTACCTTTTCCTGTTTGTATGACAGAGAGACTGGAGCGTCG